CGTGAAACATTGTCCAGGTTGGAGAATGAAATGAAGCAGTCCGATTTTATTTTTTTCGTTCTGAGGTTCTGGGATTATGTCCCACCATATATTATTGAAAAGTATGCCGCATCCGCATTTTTGAATGAGGATTTCCTGCGTGCGATAAGACTCAAAATCAAGGAACTGAGGCTACCAGGACGACGTGAGCCACACAGCTGTGCGCTGAAAGAGCACTCAGACAAGAGCTTCGCCAGAAAAGAGGTTCTGCCGCCACCGGAACGCCTTTCCAATCCGGTTGCTATGGACCACTGGGTGCTGTATGAACCGAAAGTCCAAAACTTTCCGCTGGTGGACGCCTTTTTCTTTGTGAACTCAAATCCGAAGACGCTGGTTGGGCTGCGGATGACTACGGCGGGTGGGCACCGCACGACAACCAGCACTGTGCGGCAGTTCAATGAGTGCCTGGCGGCATATTTTGAGGGTTGGGAGGAGTTATCCCGAGACATGTCGTGGGAGATGATTTATGTGCAGCACGCAGACAGCACGCCGATGACTGGCTGGCGGAGATGTGATGTCGTCGATTCCAATAATATGAGCCGCGCTGAAAACCGAGAGATTGCGGCGTTCTGGGAGGAAGAGGTGCACCAGTACATAGCAGCGGTATCATCCGCTGACGCCAGAAGAGGCGAAGCTCTCCGAGGTGAGGAAAAACCGCCGAAATAGGAGAACGAATTGGGGAATGAAGGGGGTAACTTTGATTTCTGGTAAAAAAATATTGTGGGATTTATATATTTTTGGATACTTTTTTGTGTGCATACGGTGCGGGTGCACCAGCCCCATGCGGCAGAATAGCATACAGATTTCAGAACTGTCCAACGCTATCGAACATAACAGTGACAGAAGAAAATTAGGGAGGGAAAGGGGTTGTTTGTTTTCTGGTGAAAAACATTGGGTGGTTTCTACATGATATGTTAGTTGTGTGTGTGTTATACGAGGCAGAATTGCCCCGGTATGAGGGAATCATTGTGGCTGGTGGTGTCGCAGTGCTACTGCATTGTCCATTTTCTTCTATTGTGTTCTAAGGCCCATCATTAACAGAAGCATCTTTAGGGGATGGATGACGAATAATTTCTATTGAAGAAATGGTGTGCATTCCGTGTGACCGCATGGAGTGAGGCGCCCGTCATGGATGGGTGAGGGCCCGCTTCCGCGTGTGGCTCTTTGGGTGATTGCTGGCGGTGTGTGCGTTTGTTGTGTGGAGGGCCGAATCTTTTCTTCCGCGGACTGACGGCACTGCGATGTTGTTTGTGTGTGTGAGGACTGGTGTGGAGTTGCCGGCCAGGGCGAGGGCCGTGGCGGTGCTTTTCCGCCCGCAATTTGTTTCTTCCGTGTGTGTTGTGCTGCTTCTTGCTTTTTCCCCCTCTCACCCTTTTCTCCTGTGTTCCTGCGTGGAGTGGCCGCATGCTCACGGGCCACGTTGATTGTGAGTGCCTCCTGACGGCATCCATTCATTTCTCTCCGCCTCTCTGTCTGTCATTCCCTGTTGGGTGTGGCGTGTTGCACCGCGTGAGGGCTGGCCCGCACACACCGACGGCCCGCCGTGGCTTGCCGTGTTGCTGCTCTTTTCTGTGGGCGATGGTCCTCCGTGCTGTCCCTTCCGGATTGTCTCGTGCCCCGCTCTTTGCGTGGTTGCTCTGCTCTGCTCCTCACTGACCTTTCTGGTGTATTGCCGCTGTTGTCGCTGTACTCTCCACTTCTTGAACACAGACACGCTAGGAAAACAAGCGCGAATCGCCACTGTGAAATTCAAAGGCACTGAAAGGACTAACAACAGCACACACACCGCCCACACACATATTTATATGCTCTCACGTGTTGCTGCAGTGATGGCACCCCGCACACACAAACAGTTGCCGCGTGACCGGATCCAGCGGCAGGAGGAGGGAAGGAGGAGAGAGTGAGCCGCAGAGGTCCAATATGTCCCGGCGTGTGTTTAATTCCGCGGTGCTGCTCCTATTTGTCGTGTTGTGCTGCGCCACCTGTGGAGCTGCGGCCCATCGACGGGGGAGAATTAAGTGATTGCGCGGTTGCCGTGGGTGGCTTTTATTTTTTTCCGGGACGAACGCATTTGGAACCGAAGGGTGGGACTGGTGCAAGTGGAAGGAGGGATTCGTTTGGATCGCTCGCTCTTGTGGGTGTTGGTGGAGTGACGGTTGTCTTTGATGGGGGTTACACGACGCTTAATGGTAGCGATGGGGCACCGAGTGGGCTTTCTCATGCGGATATTGTGGCGGGTCCCATCTTTTTTGCGTGGAATTTGTCTTTTTTTTTGGTGAGTTTAATAATGGCCGGAATACACACATCGTGTTGAGCACAGCGAATATAAAGGGTGTTGTAGGCTCCGCGTTCAATCCCACGACAATTGAGAGCGGCAATAGGGCGTTTCTCCTTGCGGGAAGCTAGCAAATGTTTGGTACGAATGGTGGGTTCAATTGGGCGTTGAGGGACCGTGATGTTCAACTGGTTGTGGGTGAATTCACGCAGCCCAATGATGGCAGACGGAGCGAGCTGATCCACTGGTGTGAACCCAAATTGCTGTGATCACAGATCATTCCCGAGACGCACGAACGCGGTGCGAATGGATTGAGGGTTTTTGTGGCTCAGGTGGTTTTGAATCGCACGCTTGTGTCCC